GCAGAGTCCAACCATGCCAAAAAGCTCAGAGACCTTTTTCAGAACTTCTTATATACTGGAAGTAGACCATATCCCTAAGGCAGCTACTCAGCTATGGCGGTAGATTCCCTCATGGAGTTGATGGCCAACCTCATTATGGTACATCCAGCTGTCCAGCCGCTGAAAACCAGGCCCAGCCAAATTGACTCACAGCTTAATCACCACAGTGTACCTAACTGAAATTGTGGTTTCAGTTGCCTCATTTGCATGTGAAAACTTTACAATGAATTAGGAAGACCAGGGAATAGTTGATGCTTTCAAATTGTGTTGGCAAGGATACTGAAAATACCATGGATTACCAGAAGTACAAACTAATCTGTCCTGGAAGAAGTGTAGTCAGAATGCTCACTAGACATGAGAATGGCCAGACTCTGTCTAACTTGTTTGGTCTTGCTGTTAGAAGGCAGGAATCCCTGGAGAAAAACACCATGGTTCGTGAAGCATCATGTTGTCAAAAAAAGACAAGACCTTCCATGAGATGGATTGACACAATGGCTGCAAGAATGGGCTCCGTTATAGCCGGGATCTTCAGGATATCGCACGACCAGGCGGTGTTTCTTTCTGTTGTAGGTTGGGTCTTTGTGAGTTGTGGCCGTCTTGATGGCATCTAAATGGCAGAAAAAAAATAGTGTAGCTCCGCTCAAGGTTGCTGGTGAGCAAGCTGCTTTCACTGAGTGCCACTCTCCCCAGTGTTTGCACCAATCCAGTTGCCACATGAATCCTGAGAGCTTCAGGAGCCTGGTGCAGGAGCATGGATTAGTGGCACGACCGTGAAGGGTGACACACATTCACAACGACCCACTTGGCTGCTGTCTTTGAGGGTGTACTTCTGTATCTTTCCTGCTCAGTTCAAATTCTTACCCCAGTGGATGTGGTTGCTCTTCAACAGGTAGACTTCTCTTGTTTAGCTTGCAATTCCTGAAACTGTCAAACCACTGGAGAAACCTTATATGTACTGATGTGTGTATGTATATGTATATATATATATACATGTTTATGTGCATAAAACTATTTATGAATTATGTGTTCAGAAAATTTTTACCACATTTTTATAGATGTAAGACAGATATCGAAAAATACAAATATTTTACTCTGATCTGATTACGGAAAAGACTTCTATTTTAGAAAAATTCTGACCATGATAGTCACATTTCTGCTAGATAAATTAACGTATGCAACATGAGCTAAATCAGTGCAAAAACCATGCAACGGCATGGTTTTTTATAATTATGGAATGGGAACAAATTTATTTCCAACAGCATGTCTCCTATGTTTAACAGAAGTCATGATGGAAAGATCCTCTGTGAAAGTATTGACGACAGTCAGTGTGAGAATACTTTAGCCATGTTCCTGATCTTACTGTGGTACAGAGAAACCCTCCAGATGTCAATCCTTTTCAATCCTGTGTGTGGGGAACAGCCTTCATGGACGAGTCAGGACTTGAGTGTCACACCAGGTCGCACTCCACAGGCAATACATGTCAGTGTACAGAATGTGGAGAAGCCTGCCGTTGTCCCTCTCAACAAACCACTCCTGTGAGAACTCTTAAAGGACAAAACCTGGACAAATTAGTGTATGCAGGAAGGACTTTTTTATGTCAACCCTTCAGGTTCCTGTGACAACACCCATTGGTGAGAAACACTGTGAATATAACAAATGTGTGAAAGATTTCTATACTTTCTCGTCCTTTTGGACAAATGTTAAAGGTCATGAAGTTGAGTGTGATGATTGTAAAATAATTACTCATCCATCATCGCTGATGTTTCATCCAAAGTTTCACAAGACATATAAGTGTTATGAAGGTAAGGAATGTTGGAAAGCATTTAGTTGGCCCTCACAGCTCTATTCACATAAAAGAATGAATGGTCACTGGAGAGAGGCTGTATGAATGTAAGGAATGTGGAAAAACATTTAGATGGTTGTCACATCTCTCTACACATAAAAGAAGTCACAGTGGAGAGAGACCCTATCAATGTATGGAATGTGGGAAAGCATTTAAGCAGCCCTCAAGCCTCCATACACACCAAAGAATTCATAGTGGAGGGAGACCCTATGAATGTAAGGAATGTGGAAAAGCATTTAGTTGGCTTTCCCACCTCTCTATCCATAAAAGAATCCACAGTGCAGAGAGGCCCTATGAATGTAAGGAATGTGGGAAGGCATTTAGTGTACTATCAAGCCTCTCTGTACATAAAAGAACTCACACTGGAGAGAGATCCTATGAATGTAAGGAATGTGGGAAAACATTTAGTCAATCCTCAACCCTCTATAGACATAAAAGAATTCATAGTGGAGAGAGTCCATATGTATGTAAGGAATGTAGGAAAGCATTTAAGCAGCCTTCAAGCCTCCATGCACATCAGAGAATTCACAGGGGAGGGAGGCCCTATGAATGTAAGGAATGTCGGAAAGCATTTAAGCAGCCCTCAACCCTCTATACACACAAAAGAATTCACAGTGGAGAGAGGCCCTATGAATGTAAGGAATGTGGGAAGGCATTTAGTCAGCTCTCAAACCTCTCTATACATAAAAGAATTCACAGTGGGGAGGGGCCCTATGAATGCAAGGAATGTGGGAAAGCATTTAAGCCCCACTCAAGCCTCCATACACATGACAGAATTCACAGTGGAGTGAGGCCCTATGAATGTAAGGAATGTGGAAAAGCATTTAGTCAGCTGTCACACCTCTCTGAACATAAAAGAATTCACAGTGGAGAGAGGCCCTATCAGTGTTAGGAGTGTGGGAAAGAATTTAGTAGATCCTCAACCCTCTATAGACATAAAAGAATTCACAGTGGAGAGAGGCCCTATGAATGTAAGGAATGTGGGAAAGCATTTAGTCAGTTATCAAACCTCTCTGCGCATAAAAGAATTCACAGTGGAAAGAGGCCCTATAAATGTAAGGAATGTGGGAAAGAATTTAGTCGGTCCTCAACCCTCTATAGACATAAAAGAATTCACAGTGGAGAGAGGCCATATGAATCTAAGGAATGTGGGAAACGCTTTACACAGGCATCAAAGCTCACCTCACATATGGTATCTCACAGTGTAAAGAGTCCTTTATATGTAAGTTATGTGGGAAAGACTTTGAGCATTCTTCACACACAACTCGACGTACAAGAAGTCACACAGGAGGGAGACCTTATGCATGAAGTGTGAAAAAGACTTCGCTCATTCATCCTGCCTTTCTGAACATATAAAAACTCACAGTGGCAGAGGCTTTATAAATGTAAGGTATGAAAACCTTTAGTCATTCTATAACCCTCTCAAAACAGAATCACTCACAAGAGAGAGAAGACTTATGAATGTAAGGAATGTGGGAAAACCTATGGTTGTGCCTGTTGCCTCTCGGAACACATAAAAACACAGGAGAAAGCATTCTGAATGTAATCAGTGTGTGAAAACCTGCCAGGCCTCAAACATGACTTTTGTTATCTGTTACATGGAGAGAAATCTTTTTGCGTTCATCATACTGCACTTAACATAAAACTCTCAATGGGCTGTGACCTTAAGAGTGTTAGGAAGGTGGGAAGCTTTAGTAAATCACCATCACTCACTGAATATAGCAGAATTCACAGTGGAGCGAGGCCTTACAAATACAAGAATGCTGGAAAACCTGGAGTTGTTCCTCACCTCTAAGTCCCCATTCAAAAGCGCACATTGGA